ACTTGCTTTCCATGATGAAATAGCAGACATGGTAACACACGTGGTCAGAATAGCACCAGTTGCACAGCTCCCGATGTACACAGGACGATGTCTTTTGGCACACTGACTTATGAAGGTTGCTGCTCCCTGTCACTGTGCATGAGCCTTGTGCTGCCACCTGTTGTTGTGTTACAAAACTTGTCTTGAAACTTTTTGATACCATCTCGTATTTTAACCAGAAAACTATATGCAATCATCTGGAGCTAGTTTCTATTTGTTAGCAACCAGTCCAATAAAGGCATCATAGTGTTCCAATAGAATACTTTCATTGGGCAGGAGAGGTAAGAAGACAGGGGTTTTCCCTGATTTTAAGTCAATCTCTTAATAACAAACTACAGTCAATAATTTCAGAAGAAGGCAGAGAGGAGGGTTTTCATGCAATCAAAGTGAATACTTGCAATCTTGTGATACCTGCTAATAAGCAGAATTTCAACGATTTTCATTATGCCATCAACAGTGACAGTAGATATGCATTTTATTTAGCAACTCTTTCACTTTCTTTGTCATAAAAATGGAGATGCAATTGTTGATAGCAAGCGTTTTAACTACTTGACCCGTAGGCCAATTCTGACATTCCTCTCCTACATTTAAATATCAGCATTTGTTTTCTAGAAAATTATTTACATTATCTACTATAATACCCTGGAGGATAAAATGGTGGGTGTTGCAATTTTTTTATGTCACATGGTATTTGAGAAGCAGTTTGTCAAACACAAATGTTTTACAAAAAAAATATTCTATAATGAATTTTAATGCACAACAACTCAATATAGTATGCTGTTATGCTGAGTAAATAGATACCAAACATTTCACCCTTTAAAACTGTGGCTGCTCGTGTAACGGTGGCAAATTACGGTACCTAAAAATCTTCAAAGGTGACACTTTAAAAGCCTTTACAGGTTACCAGCTTAGAGTTACAGAGGTCTGGTGCTAAAATTATTTCCCCTGCCCTGTCGTTTGCGACAATACATCACATGTGTGGTGTGATTGCCATTTACATGCTTTCAGGACCTAGGTGTGCGTCAGCATTTACATGTGAGCACAGGATAATGGGGGCACTTTAAATTTTTAATGTACTGTATGTTATTGATTTTTTTTTTGCACTGCATCTTTATTTGTTGTATCACTTTTGTTGCTAACAGAAGTGATGAACAACATCCCTTGAGATAACATGGGCCATGACAGGTCCTCTTTATGGAGAGATCTGGGGTCTATTAGATCTGATATTCCTTTTCTGGCCTCCAAAGCTTCTGATCAAATCAAAATCACTTTGATCAGATGCTTTTTTAAGCAATAGCTTGTTTACGTGAGACTGAAACTGGAAGTGATGAAATCCTCATTGCTTTTAGTTTCTGACATCACACAGTGGGAGGAACAACAGCAGTTCCTCTCACTGTGTCCCAGGAACCAGATGCCTCCAGCTGCATCCTTACCAGGCTCTCCAATCGCATGGGTCCCCCTTCTGTAAAACTAATCCTGGAGCTTCATAGTCGCGAGGATTACTATTACAGTGAAGGGAATTGCTGGCAGAAGAAAATTATATCTCAATCATTGCTGCAGTTTCAGTGATGACCAAGATATCATCCTTCCAATCCAGTGATATACTGGTATACTGGTAGGTCGCTGGACTGGATGTAGTTAATGAAGTTAACACATGGGGGTTGATATACTAAAAGCAAACAGGAGTTCAATTTACAAGGAAAGTTGTACTTTGCAAGGAACTTTTCCAAAGAGTTTAGTGAAAGTTGTGAAAGTAAAATAAAGAGCATTTTTGCTTGCTCATGGTTGGATAATGGACCTTCACCTCATTCACTAAGCTGTGGGGAAAATTATCTTGCAAAGTACAACTCCTTTGTAAAGAGAACAGTCTATTTGTATTTTGTAAATCAGCCCCATAAACAGCGGATACAATTAGAGCTATTGTATCTTTGACCTGAAAGCATTGCTTTGATGTTTCCACCATAAGCATTTTATGTGCAAAAACAAATAAACTGCAGATGTCATAGGTACATGTATATCTATATGTCACATGGTAGGTTCAAACAGTATGAAGTCATGCCTCCAAACTGATGATAATTAGGCCAACATATAGGGACATAAAAATAATAGAAATAGGCATTTATTCAGCTTTCTCCCTATTCCCAACAATGTATGTCTTCTTGGACAGTACAGTACATACCATATGTGTCCTATGTAGCACACTGTGTAATAAAATATAACACCTGCAAAGTCTGTTGTATGTATAGCGCTGTGTCTGGCTCACATCCACCTCCTGCTTTCCTGCACACACCGCTCATGTGTGTTCCAAGCCTTAAACTGAATCCTACACTGCTGGTTGTAATCCATCTATGCTTCTTCCATCCAGAGATCACAACTGTCTATGGCTCAATCCTCAGCTCCTCACTGCAGGTGAACCAAACACATTCAGCAGGAAGATACATCTGTGCTGAATGTTTGGTAATTGTCACATTCACTATAAATATACACCAAAGTGTCAAATCTTATTTAAAAATGTACATTTGCTTTTCCTTGCCTACAAGGCTATCATATTCATATAACTATTATAACCTTTATATTTTTAAATAGCTGGATACACTTAACCAAATCTTCACTATATAGTATAATTCATGTCTGAGCACAGCTCCTGTTATTAAACTCTAGGTTTAAAGACCCCCAGTAAGATAAAAAGGTCCACTAGCTTAAGGGAAAAAGAAGATCTGTCCCAGTGAAATATATGGGATTGAAAGGGTCTGTGTTTGCCTACCTATGACCATGCTAATTCATAATTATAACCTTGAAATACGGTGTAATTAACATTTTTAATGACCCTGTAACTATACTCTGTTAAGGAAACTGTGCAACGTTCCATACAACTATAATCATGATATGTTCAAGTGCTTTGGGTCCATTTAAAAATAGGTCTACTATTAAACATGCTAGCTTTTACAACTGAAATAGTTTGAATTAGAAAGAGATTATACAATCTCTCTACAATCTCTTTTAAGTCTATCAGCAACTACTGTATATGGTATGATGGTCCACTTTAACAACCTATTCAATTTATATCCAGTCAGGAAACCCTTATACTACATAGTCAGACTGTATTGTGTTTGTTCAGCTCTAGGACAGTATTTCTGATTGTCTGATTACCAAAAATGACCTCAGTAGGTTAAGGTCTAACCAATGTTAAATCAACCGGTCAGATATTTTGTCAATCCAGCTTAGTTCTGAACTGTTTTAAAGAAATAAAGTCCTCTTTTTTTCTCTCCAAGGCACTTTCAGCTGATGAATGCTGGCAAGATACAACCATGTATGGACATGGAGGTGTCAGCAAACACCCAATAACAGTCCTAAAGAGATTCTGTCACTTAGCGAAAAAAAAAACTGCAAAAAAATATGAATTGTAAGCACTCAGAGGTGCCTCTTTGGACCTGCAGCAGCCTGAAGTACACTCTGTTTCAGAAAAATGCCATTCTGAACTGGTGGAGAAGAGAGAAGGGAGGAAACAGACAAGCTTAGTTTATGCTTGAAAGTATCAGAGTTTTGCCTGTCACAATGGCCCATTCTCTGACTAAACAGGCTGTGCAAGCTTTGTATTCATAATGTGACTTTTTAAGAATATGGCGAGCCTAATGCCCAACTTCAGTAGAATTGAGGAAGGGTTAAGATCTCTGTCAACTTGCATTGCCATCTTTATACTTGTTGGGAAGAGCTCCCCTCACTGTAAGCTATAGGAAGTGGCAACATAGACAAAAAGAAAAACACAGTTTTAATACAAAGTGGAAGCACCGGAAGCACAAGTAGTGCTTTATTATTGCTTATGCCTTAACCTAATGGGGTCACAGATAATGAAAAAAAAAACTGATGGAAATTTTAGGTCCTCCTCACTCTATCTATTAACAAGTGGCTTGAGTTGTGCTTTGAAATTGTTATACCTCATGGTCAGTACAGTGTAGAAGAATAGGGAAAGCAGTATTCACTGTCTACATAATTCTTACAGAACTGTTGTAATTGGTACTATGCTCATCTTAGACCCTTTCAAAATGTTTACCAATTTCGAGCTCTTTTTCATACATTACTTTGCAAGGGTTCTTCAAAAATTTTCAGCACTTTATATATATATATATATATATATATATATATATATATATATATATATATATATATATATGTGTGCTTGTGTGTTAACAGTTTTCTCACTGAATCTGTTTTTGTCTCTAATTTTTACAATTTTCTTTTTTTTTTAGGGTGATAGCTCTTAGTCAATTTAGGTGCTACATTGTCATTATTTCCTGTGCACTCCCGAGTTGGACTACAATCTGACATTCCAATACACAGTGCTGTTGCACATTCGGCCATAATTTTTACAGTAACAGTGAAATTCTCAGATGTTACTGAAAAACGCTTAGGTCTATGGGAAGTTCATATTGTTTCCATATAAAAGTTTTCATTAAGTATTTCAACCATTTTTTATTTTATTTTTTATTCAACCATTGATTGTGTTTCTTAACCAATTATACAACTTCCAGCTTCCCAGTTGTGTCAGGCAGGTCATTGACGAGTCAAAAACCAAACATTCCGTTTAATGAAAAATGAAAATTCTGTGACTCTTCAACTTCAAAGACCTGGTATAGTTTTGTTTGCTTATCACATCTCACAAAAACAGCAACCTCGTTTAGATCCTCTAGTCAGGCTGTGACCCATAAACATTTGTTAGGGGTAGTGACCAATCAGTGTGCCTTATATTAGCCACTGTAAAAAAGGAAAAGTTATATAATATATTGTTACCAAACTATGCTCTCCTTTTCCTGGGACACAAAAAAAAATCATTAGGGTCATGTGGGAACCTGAGAAGTGAAATAGCTGTATACATGAAAGTTATAGCATTTACAAATGGCGGTATACATACTGGAATTTTTCTTTATTTTATTTTTTTACTAGTAATGGAGGTGATTAGCGACTTATAGCGGGACTGCGGCTGGCATTCTGACACTGGGGGGAACTGATTTGGTGTCACTGACATCCCCAGTGACACCAATACAATGATCAGTGATAATAAAAAGCACTGGCACTATACTAATGACACTGGGCAGGAAGGGGTTAACATGTGGGCAATCAAAGGGTTAACTGTGTGCTGTTTCACAGTATGCTGTGTGAGTGTTTTATACTGTAAGCACATTGCTTACAGTATAAAACAGAACATTGTCTTGTAAATATCATTTTGCATCTTATTTGTAAATATCATGTAACCCACCATACATATACTGTATATAATCTTGTAAATATTTTTACTGTGGTATTTGTAAATATTCTGTTACCATTGTGAAACCATTAAATGCTCTTATAGTGAGTGATTGGTATTTATTCACATATACACTCAATCTTGTTAACAGCCCAGTGTCTTCATGAGGCCCATAATGCAGAAAGAAAAAATACGGACAAAGTAAAGTGATAACTATATTTTTTATCTGAAAATTAAAGCGATTCTGTTTTTAGTAGTTTTTTGTGAGATTTTAGTTCAACTTTAACTGCTTCCATGCCACCCTATAGCAGAAATACTGGGTATATACACGGGTACATATATGTGATTTTTGCAGTACTGGGTAGGGGGCACACATGCTTACCCGCACCGCCATTTGCCTCCTCAGTTGTCAATCACCGGGCTCAGTTGGTGATTACTCGCTGAGTGTCTCCGACTGGGGGGAGACCTGTGTATAAAATACATATATCTCTCCCCTGTCAGCTCCTGCACACTGCTTTGTATGGCTCTGCATAGCAGAGCCATACAAAGCAATGTGCTAACAGTATAAAACACTCACACAGCATACTGTGAAATAGCACACAGTTAACCCTTTGATTGCCCACGTGTTAACCACTTCCTGCCTAGTGTCATTAGTACAGTGTCAGTGCTTTTTATTAGCACTGATCATTGTATTGGTGTCACTGGGGATGTCAGTGACACCAAGTCAGTTCCCCCCAGTGTCAGAATGCCAGCCGCAGTCCCGCTATAAGTCGCTGATCTCCACCATTACTAGTAAAAAAAATAAAATAAAGAAAAATTCCAGTATGTATACCGCCATTTGTAAATGCTATAACTTTCACGTAAACCAATTAATTTACACGTACGGGGATATTTTTTTTTTAGCAAAGACATGTAGCAGAATAAATTTTTGCCTAAATTTATGCTGAAATTTTATTTTTTTAATTTGTTTATTAAATATGTTTAATAGCAAAAAGTCAAATATATTCCCTTTATCTCAAATTGTTGGTCTTCTTTTGTTTATAGCGCAAAAAATTAAAAACACACAGGTGATCAAATACCACCAAAAGAAAGCTCTATTTGTGTGGGAAAAAAGACTGTAAATTTCATTTGGATGCAGTGTTACATGACCACGCAATTGTCAGTTAAAGTAACGCAGCGCTGTAATGCAAAAAATGGCCTGGTCAGGAAGGGGTGTAAATCCTCTGGAGGGCAAGTGGTTAAAGTGAACACAGCATTAAGTTTCTAATATATTTTCTTAGAACCCTGTGCACAAATTACACATTTTAGTGGTATCATTGTTCTACAGGAAACTTTTTCCCAACATTTAGCTTCATTTAGCTTTAAGATCAATTTGTGTTACATTGTCAATTTCAAGTGATATGGTAGGGACTTAATGTAGTGTAAACTTTGTTTTTAAATCTTTGCTAGTTTTATTTCAATCATAATGCTTCAACTGTTTTCATTGTTATTTTTAATCGTTAAAGATATGTATAATCTCTTTTGTTCAAACTTCTTTTCCAAGTCATTTACTCTAAAGCCTGAAAAACGTCCAGCGTTTATGCTTCATATTTGGAGTTGTTGTGTTGTTTTAATTATGACTAAATTCTCTTGGCACAAAAATGCAACAGTACCCCTGTGGCATTCTTTTTACACAGTTAAGAATTTAAATTGTATGCTTATTGTCAGATGTGTTTCTGTAGATAAGTGTATCTTTTTTTATTTACTAAATTATAAATTACTATTTCAACTACACAGAGCTCATATTACTACATTTTGTAATGCCATCTAAACACAGGATAAGGATTTCTTTGTTCAAGTATTTGGAGCCTCTGGTTGCCATGTATCAAGTGTGATAAATCTACCAGTCATTTGGGTACCATATGCATGAGGAAACTGTTCACCGCAAAGCTGAGTGGGAGCAGCTCATGGATGATGCTGATTGGCAGCTAAGGGCCAACGCTCCTCATCTTTCTTATCTTTCCACCATCTTCCTGCTACACCAGAATCTCCATCTGCATCTACTGCAATATCTGTGGCCTTAAGAGGTAGAGATAGAAGACTTACAAGGGTATTGAGAGGCTTGTCTGACGGTGTATCAAGTGGGGAAGAGGGTTAGCATAGGGCTATGATGAGTAGAGCCAATTTTGGGCTTCCACCTGGCTGTAAGTCTGAAAGTCTCCTAACCCCAACCTGTTATCTCCACCTGCATCCCTGACAAGGCAGGTGTCTCTTCCTCAGCTAGAGGAAGACTAGAGCTTAAGAACAACATTTCTACCATTCAACCCCATGCCAGTATGTGTCTCAATGCCAGCATGACAAAATTGCTGACTTTAAAACAGCTCTCATTCTACCTGGTGGTGCCTTCTTCTGTGACTTTAAGCCCTGTGATGCACCACAGTGGGAGGTATCCAGTCAGCATTTTTCAAATAGAAGGCCATTTCTGCCCTCCATCAGCATATAGGCATTTTAACCACCACACTGCTAAGCCATATGGTCATCATCAAGGTCCCCTTGACTAACCTGTTTAATCAGTTTGGACTTAATTTTTCTTGTATGGGAAGTTTGGTCTAGTATAGATTTTAAGGAGGATCTCACCCTAAAAACATTTTGGTGTCCCTCCCAGTTTCTATACCAGACCCTTTGGGGTTTATTTACTAAAGCTGGAGAGTCCAAAATCAGACTCCCTTCTGCATAGAAACCAATCAGCTTCTAACCTTAGCTTGTTCAATGAAGCTTTGGCAATGAAACCTGGAAGCTGATTGGTTTCTATGCAGAAGGGAGTCTGATTTTGGACTCTCCAGCTTTAGTAAATAAACCCCTTTGGGTCTGGTATGGATTTTGAGAAGGATACCATGCAAAAAATAAGAAAAAAGAACATGGGGTCCCCCTCAAAATCCATTCTCAACCCTAATCCAAACATGCATCCTAGCAGGCCAGGAAAGGGGAGACAAGCTTGTAGCCCCTCCTTCTGAACCACGCCAGACCACATGCCTTTAACATGGTATGGGTACCTTGCCAGAAAGGACCCCCCTGACAAAGCAAAGAACATATTGAGGACAAGTGCATTTTCCACATAACTCTGTCCTGGTGCTTGTTGTTGGTTGTCCCCCATGTGAATGAGTAAGGGGTACATAGTATCCCTTCTCATTCACAAAAAAGTAAAAAATAAATAAAACACACTGCCATTGGTTTTGGCAAGTCCTTAAAAAAACTGTCAAAATGTCCCATGATGTAAATCTATGATCAATCACATTATCCAATGATGCAGATTAACACCGATCACAATGAAGACACCTGCCACATGTAAAACCCACCTACCATACCTGGCGACACATACAATCCCATTACTTACTTGCCATACATTTTTCCAGCATACAGAAAGTGTTTTATCATATAAAGCGTACCTGAAATTTCTGAAAATTACATTTATTCTGTGTGTATTATTTTCCTTTCATTTTAATTTGAAAAAAACTTTCCATTTTGGGGCACTTATCACAGCTAAGTGAGAATGTATTTTAGCCATTGGTTCAATGGCTATCTGTAAAGTTATTCTGGTTCTTGTCTTATACATACACTGTTATTTTTTTTTCTTGCTAAAAGCTGCCTTTTCTCTCCTACCTCCTTTGGGGACCTAGTAAAACTGCTTAAATGATGTGCAGCATGTCTGTACAATAATTTTAGCTCTTGTCGCTGATATCATACACTGTACTTTGTAGTACTTGATAAAAACTGCAGCATTTCTCTCTCTCTTCCATTGCAGCATTGTAAATATGCTCACATGATGTGCAGTGTGACTGTGCAATATTTTGGGCTCTCAATTCTAATATAATACACTGTAACTTTTATTTTCCAATAAAAACTGCTGTGTTTGCAGCCTGGAAAAAAAAAACATGTGTATAACATGTCTGTGCAGTATGTCTGTTTTTTGTGGTATAACACACTGTAATTGATATTTGACAATAAACACTGCCTTGTCCCTCCCTCTTACATTGCTATCAAATAAAAAAGTTTACATAATGTGTACCCCGTATGCACAATAATTCTGACTGCTCTTTCTGAAATAATACACACTGATTTTTATTTCTAGATTAAAAATAAGCCCTCTCCCTTTTACTTCACAGGAGGTTATTTTTCTAGAACAATATGAAAAAAAAAACCCTGCACCATGGGCTACAATAGTTTGCAATTACAATGTGAATGTATGAATGTGAGTTAGGGACCTTAGATTAGATGCTCCTTGAGGTTCAGGGACTGATGTGGATGTACAAAATATGTAGAGTGCTGGATAAATTGATGGAGCTATAGAACTACCTGTAATAAATAATAAATAAACTCTTTTCTTGTCATACACAAACCATTTATTATACTTTATTAGCATTTAACAGCTATGTCTTCAGCATGCCCCAGTGTATATACTTCTATGCTTTAACAGGTGAGCTTACACTCATGAGAAATCTTGATATGATGATAAATTATTAATGATGTTAAAGCACTCATTCTAAATAGATGTTAATTAGTTATCTTAATGTTGTGTATTTTTATACAAATTAAGTAACCAGCAAATGGTTGTAGAGTATACACTTAGTCATAGCTTTCTAATTAAAGTTTAATGGCTAACACTGGAGATGCTGCCCTAAGTCTTCCATGTCATTTTGAATGGCTAATTATTTTATTGCATCCTTCTTATAATCTGTGATAAATTCAACTTGTCTCATTAATAGTGATGTACATCTATTCATTAGAAAGGTGTTTTTTTCTAGGCATGTTATCTACTTGACAGAATAAAAATAATTCATTTTTCTCAAATGCAGATCCATAAATGTTGTGTTGGCATTTACAATTACTTATTAATAAAAAAAAAATTCAATTTTAGTTACACTGTGTGCATCTACTGCCCTTTTTATTAACATAAAGAGCAATGTGCTAACTTGTAACTCATAGCAACCAATCATTAATCAACTTTTATCCTGATTGCTCAGGGCTGATAAGTGATGAAACCTAACTGGTTAACATGAGTTACTGCCCTTTGCACATCATTACAGCTCTTTGCACTTTATTAAGTAAATTGGTATACACCAAAAATGAAATAAAGTATTTATAATTGCCATTTCGATAGACATTTCACTAAAGGCCGTCATATTTTTCTATACAACAACAATAATTATTTGTAAGCCAATGTACTGAGCATATAGATGATTAAAGCTTTACAATCACACACTTCAAAGGTCAATGTCCTAAGCCTTAGCATAGGCTGACATTTAAAACTTGCTGGTACTGTGTCTTGCTTTTAAAATCTCTTTGCATTCTCTAAGAACAGACCCATGGTAACTAAAAAAGCAATCCAGGGTCATAGATACATAAAAGATATGGGCATTATTTTGACAGTAAAGCATATTTGAGTTCTATCGCAAGAATATTGCCCTATGGGATATATGTGTTTGCCTAGGAGAATGGCAATGCCAGGGATTAAAGTGTACATTAAATCAAAGGAGAAACGAAATGTGATTTTACTCAATCCTATCATATGCTGGAAGGA